ATATATAATCAGATAAAATAATACTTTTTACAGCGTATTTAAAAGTCGACTGTGTCCTCCCATTGTTTTTTGTGCTTTTCTTCTCGAAGCCTTTGTTTATGTTTTTTATCAATTTAATGCCGCTTGTTGTTCGCCGCCATTGTTCAGATACAATATGATTATTTTTTTATGGCTAATTTTTAATTTGTTTGCACACATGTGCGCTTGAGTTTGTGTTGGCAGCTCCCTTTTTTATCGCTCGTCGTCCTGTCAGCGACCGCAGTTGTTGTGCCTTTTGTTTGAAGTTGTTTCTTGGCAAATGGTGCCACAAATGGGCAACCAGTTGCGCGACAGCAACTGCGCCCTTTGTTACACACTTCCGCTTCCGATTGCCAGTCCCATACAAAATGGGCCCTCATTGTTATTTAACACTAGGCCCATGTTTAATTTTATACAAAAATTAACGCATGTTTAATAGTAGCAATTCTCGGATGGCTTGCAAATGAGTTGACTTTAATCGCAATAAATATTTTATGAACTATTTATGATTAATGTCCTAGGGGTGTGGACCTTTAGGTGTTAATAGTGGCGCTAGGTTTATGGGTTTATGTCAAGGGAATGAGAAAAATAAAATAAACAGAAAAGGGTGCATATAGTATATTAAAGTGTGCTATAAATACATCGATTGTAAGCCAGATTCTGAGAGCAATTTGTATATTTATAAGAAGACTTTGCATAAACATTGTGTCAGTCAAACAAGTGCGTTCGTAGTTGAAACATTTAATGACAATATCTTGTAAACACAAGGTTTAAGCCAGTATTATTGACTATTTAAATATTGTGATATAATGAATCAAACAAGACTGGAAGTCAAACAATTATGGAAGCTTCTTTTGTACGTATTACCAAATACCTCTATACCGATACAGATTCTTTCGGAATTACTTTATGAAGAAAAATAGTCACATAAAATACTTATATGCGTATAAAAAAAAAAACAAGCCATCAATTTATGCTTGCATTATCCTCTGGTATCTACCGACGGGAAAGTCGTGCCTTCTATTTTAAAAATATCGATGAATGGCTAGACTTAAGTTTAGTGATGTGGTGAAATAAATTTGAAGATTACAGTCGATCGGAAAAAAACTATACCTTTCAATGTTTTCCATTAAATATCGAGCATATAAATTCTCCATAAGTTCAGCCTCAATAACTTTAAAAAACTTTACCATTTCATTTATTTTTATATAATTACAATTTATATAATTTATAATTTAATTTTAAATATATATTAAACACACAAACTAAGGTCGAGCGAAAACAATAACCATTCCTTTAATACTTCAGCTCCTAATTTTTTGCAATAATTAGTTTAAGATACTTCAACACTTTTAACCAGCCAAGAAAATATGGCTTGAATAATAGCCAAAACTGAAGAGTGATGTAATCGATAATTTTCTTAAAGATTCTTTCATTCTAATGATCAATATAGATACGTATTTATAACGACAATAATTCATTCAAATAGTATAAAGAAACCATTAATAATTTTACAAATATAACGACATGAGAAATGTCATCCACTGTCCTAGGAAAGAATTGTGAAAGCGACCCCTTGCTTCCTTAGACAACACTTTGTTGAACCTTTTTATGAACCTTTATGTGAGACACAAATATTTATGACTCGTGTTTTTTAAGAATATTAATAGGCAAGCTATTTATATTTTTCGCCCAGTTGAGTTATTTGATGTTGTAACTAAGCATAGCAAGCAACTAAGCAGCTAATTGGACAGCCTTATGTGATGTTCACATGACATCCTGCTTATTTATTCCAACATATGTTTTCGTTCATGCTTGGTTAAATGACATATAGCTGCTATACATACTTTATGAAAAATGTGCTCCTTCCTTTCCTCCTTCCTTGTTATCTTGGTTACAAATTCCCCTGCCGAAATGGCATATTTTATTTGAAGCACTTTCAAGTGTACCTCTATATGCTTGCATATTTTTTTATTACGCGCTAAAAATAAAATACAAATTCATTTGCTGTCTGCTGCTGCTTCGACTCCCGCTCCTACAATACACCAACATACTCACTTTTTATGATGCCCCAGTCATTTGCTGCGCCATTTTATTATTTGCCTCGCAGCGTGCACTTCATTTTGTAATTACCAGCAGCCAACGGCCCAGCAACGTTCAAATTTGTCGACTTAATGACAAAATGTAAAAATTACAGTTATAAAAGACGTCATGTTGACTCTCACACACACACACACACACATGCACATGTGTGTGTTCACATCCTCATATTCGTACATGCCGAGACATCCGGCAATGCGGGCCCACAGCCTGTCAGAGATAACGGAGACCGCAGTTGCCATTTGCATTGGCAGAGGCGAGACTTGGGCTTGGCTGCCGGCACGTCGCAACGTTTTGCCTTTTTTTTTTGGCTTGTGTGTAGCCTAACAGTATGCACAAGTTAATTTGATTTTGGTGTAAGTCAGACACAAAACTACCGCACGGTAGGCCATGCGGCCTTCTCAATACAAACTGAGTTCGAGTTCCCGCTGCTGCCTACAGCCTGCTGCCTGCTGCTGCCAATGCGGCTGCGACACGTTGCCAACTCAAGCGTAAAATCAAAATTTCCGCACATTGCCTATTTTTCAAACAAGTACATATACACACACGCACGCCAACACTCACACACACACAAACGCATAGTGGGTCGAAATAGATTTTCATCGAGTCTTTTATGTACAAATAAATAAATCATAACTTTAAAACAAGAAAGGAATGCTAAAGTCGGGCAGGCTCAACTCTTAAATACCCTGTACCACTTTCTTTCCGATCATTCTATCATAATGAGACTTGGTATACGGTTATATAATAACTAACCTAATGTGACTACCAAATTTTAGTTCAAAATTCCAAGAATTACGGGAGTTATAGAAAATCGTTAATAGGGGGGAGTGGGGGGGTGGATCCGAAAAAATGAACAAACTCGTCCTTTCTCGGTCTCAGGAGAATCTGTATACCAAGTTTTGTTATTCTAGCTCTTATACTTTCGGAGATCATTGCGTTCATACAGACAGACAGACGGGCAGACAGACGGACAGACGGACATGGCTATATCGACTCGGATTGTCATGCTGATCAAGAATATATATGGGGTCTATTTGGGGTCTACCAAGCCTCCTTCTGTGTGTTCCATGTGCACTCGCACAAAACTAATATACACTTGTACCCTTTGGGTACAGGGTATAATGATGGTATTCTGTATTTACTTAACAAATCTATATCTATATTTCAGCTAACTGGATTCTGCTCGAACTGATTTCAGCGCAGCAGTACTGGGTTCTATTCTCTCGAAACGAACAAATTATTTTGATTTTTGATATTGCTAACCAGACCAACAAAACAATTCTTCAATTATTTCACAATTATTGAACAAATGCAGACGTTTCGTCCTTAAGAGCTTCTTAGTTTTGTTTAGCTCCGCTTTCATTTCTCTTCGAAGGCACAGTGCACCAGTTCGAGTAGTGCGAGAGATGGAGGGATAGAGGAAAGAGAGCGGTGAAAAAAGGACGACAGCCGGTGGGCATGTTTATTTGGCAAAAGCTGCTGTGGTTGTCTGGCCGCTCCTCAGCCCGGTTCGCTTTGCTGAATTGCCTGCCTGCCATATCGTCGGTGTCTGTTACCACATGAAGAGCTCTACAGTATGTACGTGTATGTTCCAATGTGTGTGTGTATGTGTGTGCCTTAGCTCGTTTCAATCACGTGCTGCGCATCGTCATTCAATGTTGTCAAAAAATTTATATCAAGCAAAGCACACAGGTATACATACATACATATATACATATTCATATGTACACACACACACACATACACACAAATTGGGACCAAGAGGAAGAAGAATCAGCGGCAGCAGGTATAAAGAAATAAATAAAAAGGCATAAAAACATGCAAATAAAATTAACAAAACGAAAAACGAGCGCCTCTTTCCAGCGTCCCCCACACTTTTCACAACGTTGTTTACATGTGGATGTGTGTGTATTTTTCTTAGTACCCCCCCCCCCCCCCCCCCCCCCTCATTTTATTCAGCACCGTACATTTGAAAATTTGTTTTTCTTTTTTTATATTTGCGGCTGAAAATCACTTGAATTTTTCATGCGCTTCCGTTTCACGCGACAGACAATACGACCAACAACGCCAGCATGAGAAACTCTTAATAGAAATCAATTTAGTCAACGCTTATTTGTTATGTAAAAAGAAGAAATACATTTGGCAAAATAAATTTAAAGAAATGAATTAAATTACTTCATAAAGGCGCAGACAGAGGGCGAATGTGGGAGACACTGGTTGTCGTTCTCGTCGCAGACCGCCAATAATATCATTACGTCCAATCAACTTTTTATTGATTTATTATTTTTGAAATGCAATTTACTGGCGTTGCGCTGATTTATGAGCAGCATTAACGCAAAATCGCAACATGACGACATTGCGGATAGTCAATGAAAAGCTCGTGGTTTTGTGGTTGTTGGTCATGAATATCGCACCGCATTGAGCAATCTCAGCGGTATGTCGACATCCAATATGTCTACGTAGTTGCATCATATTGGGAACAATAATGTGTGTGAGTTGCATTTTGAAAATGTTTGCCTGTGCATATTATGTTGCCATTTTGGTCGATTATGGAGATCGACAGTGGCTCCGGGTTGAAAAAGCACAGAGGACATTTAAACAAACAGAATTTATGAAAGCAGCTTGTTGAATTTTTTAATGCATTCGAAAAAAAGACTGTACATACAGATGCGGCATTATTTGCAGTCGTTTTACTATCTGCTGATGGCTGCTTAAACAGAATTAATATCCCAATGCTGATCCCTAAAATAGAATATTTATGTATGCTTGTAGAGCATCTTTTTACTTTAAAACGATAGCAATAAATGTTAATATTGAACAGCTTTTAAAAATTTTCATTATCGAAAACAGAAACTTAATTTCATTTCCATTTCTTGCAGGTAACGTATGTATTGGAAGCAGCTTACGCTAGCGCATAGGAAAATCAAACCGACTTAGTGAGTCTGGACCAAACTTCAAACAGCTTAGAAGCTTTTACAACATCGCTTAAGCCGACACAAATAAAAGGTAGCCTAGCAGACCCCACAAAGTATACTATACAAAATAAGTCCACCTGTGAAATATGTAGTATGAGTTGGCAACACAAACTCATGAAAGGACATGTTGTGTTTTCTGTAAAGCCCAAAACTGTCCGCTATATGATTTGGAACCTCTGTAGTTCTCCAAAACTTGATAGTATATTTCTTGCAACTACAATCTTCTGGTGCTGCTAGAAATGTATATTTCACCAGAATAGAAAATTCTTAATAGAATTATATATGCGTGTGTGATTATTATTTTGTGGCTATGGAAGAAAATGAAAATTGTATACGTCAGAGAATCGTTATATCAGAGAGTAGAGTAGAGGGAGCACCTTTAGCCGCTGTAACTCAACCTTGCAATACCCGCCCCAAAATAACATAAAAGGTATGTATTTCCTGGAAACGATAGGCAGTACATTTTTCAATTACTCACTCCAATGTGACAGTGGACGCATTTAAGTGTAAGGGAATGCCACGCAGAGTTGATTTTTGTTGAATATTTCGCCACCTGCCTTTAACACGAAAACAAACAAAAACAGATGTTCCCTGGAATTATACGAACTGTAATATTTGACTTTAAGTCAATTTTGAATTGGATTCCTTTTTAAAATCCACTATCATTTGATTAATATTTATTAACTCGAACGCTTACATGGGCACGAAATTATCTTAGCCTTTCAAAAACCAAAATTAAATCGTGCAGAAAACTGACTTAAAAGCAGTCAAGTAGAATGGCAAGAGCTTCTCAGGCGTCTTAGGCGCACATACTCATAGACCACAAAATCAGGCAAGCAAGACCAGTCGACATGCACACGCATGTCCATATCATCGACAGTGGTGATGAACTCCGCTTTCTGTTCAGCAAGGACAACAGTAGAAGCAACAGTAATGACAACATCTTGAAGGCCATCCGTAGGAATGAATTGTCATTGGGGTGTGTGGGGGATGAGTTGGCAGGCATTTGCGAGGATGCATGAGAAATGAGCTAAATGTGAAAGTTCGCATGTTAAATGATGTGTGCGTTAATGTTTTCAACATGTTCTCCATTTTTTGGTCAAATGCTGGGTTGGCATACTCAATCACATGTCGAGGCCCAGACACAATGACGCAAATTCCCATACATACAAACATATGCTTATATGTATGGCTACCTGTGGGGCCTGGCAGCTGATGTGCATGTGTGTGTGCTGGCACCTGTGACAAATGTTGGCAGACAAAGTGCTAAGTAAAAATGAATGTGAAAATATGGAATACTGCAGTGGTAGCAATATCAAAGTGTTTCTTTAATACTCTTTTCTTAGAACGGTTGATCACAAAATTAAATATGATTTTTCCAAAGAAATTAAATACCGAACGGCCATTTGGCAGAATCAAATCAAACCATGTAGTCTAGACAGAATGAACTTAAACTTTTAATAGAAATAGTATCAGCGAAATTTTAAAAGTTCTAATATATTTTTAAATTTTGTACATAAACAAATGTACATTTGCAAATTACTTGTAAATGAAACATTCACATATCAGCATTCGAATAGAAACTTAAACACAAATATTTGTACCATATTTATTTCTGTAAATTTTCAAAAGAACTTCTAAGTCTAGAAAGATGTCCAGCCAGTTCAATTCTAAAGTATTTAAATTTGGAGAATCATATGGCTTCTGAAGCTATTCAAACACTATGCAGTAATGCTTTAGGTGTATGGATTTCCAATTCCAGCATGCCGTTTTGAAAATTGCTTTAAAGACTATACAATAAATGTATAGTATAGAATCAAAAATTGCTATTATTATTATCCAATTTATTTGATATCGTTTTAAAAATGATAGTAACCTTTCATTGTTAATCTTTAAAAATTCGAATAAAAGAGTGCTATACTTATATGTATAATATCCGTATAAAAATTAATTGCACATATTTTGAGTCTTGCACAATTGCTTGTTGCAGGAGAGATGTTAGTGGAGTTTATTTTACACATGCTGTGGTTAATCAGTTGATGATTCACGAATGGCTAAAAACTCTTAAAATATATTTTATTGTCTGGCAACTCAACTGTTTGTTTGTCTGAATAATTTAATAAATGTGAATACCTCTTAGCTTCATCTGGTAACATTGTTATCTACTTCTGACTGTGTCAGGCTAATCTGTATGCTTAGCTGCTGATTAACTTTAGAATAGTGCTATCTAGCGTGGTGTAGCACAATCTGACCCTCATTTTTTTCCACTCGTATGCAAATTTGTATTTTTAAAAATAACTTTTAAGCATAGCTGTTATGCTGTGTAGCATGGACAACCTGTGAAAAAGTTAATATACTCTTAATACGACATTTTGTTGAATTTATGTTCTATCCAGATAAGGACATGTTTTTCTTCAATTTTTTTGTTACCGTACTGTTTCCAAGTCCATGACTTATTCGCAGCACTCGTTTCCATTGCGCAGAGGATAGAAAGTTCACGGCTGCAAGGTCGTATATTTCTGGCCTGTCACAATGGTTGTTGCTTTGCATACTAATGAAAAATTAAAATTTCCACTACAAAAACTGTGATTCATTAGGCAGCTACTCGCAGACTACTCGTTACATTTGCCTCCACATACACAAGTATATATATAAATATAGATGTGTGTGTCTGTGTGTGTAAATAATAAATAAACTTGGCTGCTAATTAAGTGAGACTCTCCCCACTTGCCACACTCATTTGTATTATACTTTTGTAATTTACATGCCGGCCAACTCTCGAGAGCAAGTGGTGGCAGGCGACAGTACAAGTAGTGGGAGGGGTAGGGTCTAGTGGAAATTGTCGGGCGTGCCGCTTCTGTGAACACTTTCGGTGCAAGCAGCCAGTTGGAAAACCAATCGATATGAGCAACGCTGTGAATTAACCATGGGGAACACACGTAGCCAGTTGGCCAGTTGGGCAAGTTGGCAGCTGTTGGCCTTTTCCGCCATTTACGTCACTCGAAAACTGAGTGTTGGCCACAAGTGGCCAGCACATATTTTAGGCATCTATATATTCTTCCACAATCATGAAAATAAATTATTATATTTTGTTAATTACTAGATAATATTTTTGTAGCTGCAACGGCTCTCTTGACCATAATAATTATGAATGATGGACTTAGTCATAAATAGGGTACCATTCGCATTGTGGTTGGCAATTATGTGAAAAGCTCGAGCTTATTTATAATTATGAATTTGTGGGCGAGTGTAAAATTGCAATTAGTTTGTTGGCAGCTTATATGAGCTTTTCAAATCACAAACCACAATACCATAGAGGAATTGATGCTAAAATATTTGTAAGATTATTGATAAATAAACTAATTGAACTCCAAAGTGCACAGACTAACAAAAAGATCAAAACACAACCTTTGATTGCTCGAGGTTCGTGCTGGTGCCATTGTTTAATTAATTTATTGTAGTAATTGAGCCTAACAGATTATGAGAGGTCGATTAATATTCTAAGACGCATAAAAGAATATACATATCTCAAATACTTGGGACGGTTCTTATTTTTTTTAGATCTATACAACTGCTTAGCTAGAGCTTAAAAATATATTTTTTATATATATAAGTGACGATTATGTATGACCTATGTATCATTCCAGCTATTTATAATAATAATACTAAATTGAAGAAGTGGAACACCAAATATTATTTCAGCTAAGACATTTTTGAATTCTTAAAATAATATTATGAAACATTTGATAACAAACCAAGCTCTAATGAAACAAAAATTAATAACTAAACCGAAAGACGAATATTTTTCTAATTAAAAACGATTAGTCATTTGCCATTTACCTTAATGCCACTTTAAATTGAATTTCCATTAAAATGCGGTACGATAATTCCAAGAGTTTGTTCATATCCAACAAATTTATCTTAAATGCCAACAATAACTTTTAATTCCTTAGCACTGAGCCACTGTAAATATCTCAACGCACCTTCCATCACTTTAAGCAGCTCCAGTGCTTACAATTTTTAATGTGCGCTCTTCCACTTATTTAATTTCAAATCTCGATAAACTGTGTGGGTCGCTTTAAGAATACGGCTCGCCCAACTGCCTGACTGTCTGCCTGCCTAAGCCGAGGGCTAAGCTTGCCGCCGCGCTTTGTCACACGCACAGCAATGTTTTCGTACCCCTCACCTCACCAGCCCCAACCCCACACCCCACATCCCACACCCCCCATCGCCTAGCGCCCGCATTGTGAGGAAAGTTGTCGCGTAATTCTTTACACACTTTTGCTATTCTCTTTTCCTTTTTTGTTTCTGTTACGTACTTCCTGTTTTGTGCGCGTTTTCTAGATTACTTTTATAAGTGAATTTGTTGCGGTTTTCCGCAAAATTTACAAGTACGTGAGAAAATTAGAGTTTAGCTTGTTGGGCTGAACTTGTCGGCAGACTTGCCGGCCTCTCTGCTTGTTGCTCGGCTGTTTTCGTTCACCGCCCTCCACTTTAAATGCGTTTTAGTTTCACATGGCGTATGCGTAATTTCTTCAATTATTACTAATGCATTGCGCCTACAAATTTTGACTAATTGGCGTTAAGAATTTGAATATGGCAATTAGCAAGTTCATTGCATATTTGCGTCTAGATATTTGCCAATTTAACGCCAATGCACAAAAATGTGTGTGTGTGTGTGTGTGTGTGTGTGAGTGTATGTGTCTGGCTTTTTCGTTTTCCATTTCCCATTCCCCAGACATGCGAATAAATGCGGCGGCTGACGTTGCTGTTGCTGCTAACTTGAAAATAAAGTTTCATTTTCGCGCGCACTCAAGAATAAGACAAAGTTTTTGCGGGCCATGCTTCTCCCTGTATTTATGTGGGTGTCAGTGCGTGCGTGTATGTGTGTGTGTGTGTTATGTGTAAAAGTGTGTGTGTTTGTCTGTATTTGCAGAATTGTTAGTTTCACGCTTTGTTTGTTTAGATTAGCCAACCGCATTTGGCGCGCCTGGCCTGGTATGCGATGTTTTTTGCCAACGCCACCAAATA